AACTATAGACCAGGGGTCCTCAAACTTTTTAAACAGGGGGCCAGTTCACTGTCCCTCAGACCGTTGGAGGGCCGGACTATAGTTTAAAAAAACACTATGAACAAATTCCTGTGCACACTGCACATATCTTATTTTGAAGTAAAAAAACAAAACGGAACAAATACAATATTTGTATTTGCATGTGGCCCGCGGGCTGTAGTTTGAGGACCCCTGCTATAGACCAACATTTCTAATGAATATAGATGCAAAATTCTTAACAAAATGCTAGCAAACCGAATCATGAAACATATAAAAGGAAGTATACATACACTCCACGACTAAGTGAAATTTACTGCAGGAACACAAAGTTGATTTAACACTTAAAAATCAATGAATATAATACACTATTCTAATAGAATAAAGGGAAAACCACATGACCATCTCAATAGATGCAGAAAAAGACATTTGAAAAAATTTAATACCCATTTATGATAAAAACTCTCAATAAACAAGGAATAAAAGGGAATTCCCTCAACCTGGTAAAGGGCATCTACAAAGATCCCACAGTTAGCATCATACTTAATGAAAGACTGAATGTTTCCCCCCTAGGATTGGGCATAAGCATGTCTGCTTTTGTCATTTCTACTAAACACTGGACTGAAAGTTTTAGCTAAGGCAATAAGCAATAAATGAACAAATGTGAATGAATTGGAAATGAAGTAAAATTGTCTTTTATTTGCAGATGACATGTATATATATATATATATATATATATATGTAGAAAATCACAAGGAACCACAAAAATACTATGTTTAATAACAAGATTAATATAAAAAAATTCCATATACTATCAATGAATGATGCAAACATAAAATTAATAAAACACAATTCCATTTAAAATAGTAGCCACAAAATAAAAAGATAGGAATAAATTTAACAAAAGAAGTGCAGAACTTGTATACTAAAAGCTAAAAAAACATTGCTAAGAGAAATGAAAGAAGATTGAAATAAATGGAAAGATATTCCATCCTATATAAGAGCCTAATATGCAAATCAACTGAACAGCAGAATGACCAGTGGAACAACCAGTCACTATGATCCACACTGACCACCAGGGGGCAGACGCTCAATGTAGGAGCCGCCCCCAGCCCGCAGGCCCCAGACCAGCCATTGCGGGTGCCAGTGGGGGCCCCCCAATTGCCCTGCTGGTCACCCCACAGATTGGCCCTGATTGCTGGTCAGGCCTAGGGACCCTACCCATGCACAAATTTCATGCACTGGCCCTCCAGTATTCATATATTTGAAGACTCAATATTGTCAAGATGGCAATTCTCTTCTAATTGATGTATAAAATCAACATATTCTTGTCAAAATCCCAGCGATCTATTTTGTAGAAATTGATAGGCTAATTATAAAATTTATATGGAAATACAAAGGATTTAGAATAGCCAAAATATTTTGAAAAAGAACAAAATTGAAAGACTTACAACATCCAATTTTAAAACTTACTATAAGGCTACATTAATCAAGACATTGTGGTATTAACACAAGACTAGGCATACAGATTAATTAAACAGGATTGAGAATCCAGAAATCCTTACATTTACTTTTAATTGATTTTTTACAAAAGTGCAAGATAATTTAATGGAGGAAAGGATAATTTTTTTTCAACAAATGGTACTGGGTAAATTGTACATCCACATGTGAAAACACAAATACTTAGACACTTTCCCACACCATACACAAATAGTAATGCATAAGGGATCATAGACTTAACTGTAAGAGCTAAATCTATAAACTTCTAGAAGAAAACATAGGATAAAATACTTGTGACTTTGGGTTGAAAAAGAAAGTCTTAGCTACAACACCAAAAGCCTGATCTATAAAAGAAAAAAATTGATAAATTGCACTTCATCAAAATTAAAAACTTTTATGTGCTGGGGGTGGGAATGGTTGGGGAGAGGTCAAGGGGCGGGGGGAAGGAGACACATGTAATACTTTAAACAATAAAGAATTAAAAAAAAACACACTTTTGCTCCACAAAGGCCGCCATTAAGAAAATAAAAAGATGCCCTAGTCGGTTTGCTCAGTGGATAGAGCATTGGCCTGTGGACTGAAGGGTCCCGGGTTCGATTCCAGTCAAGGGCACGTACCTTGGCTGTAGGCTCCTCCCAGCCCGGGCCCTGGTCAGGGCACGTGCAGGAGGCAACCAACAGATGTGTTTTTCTCACATCGTTATTTCTATCTTTCCCTATCTCTTCCTCTCTCTCTAAAATCAGTGGAAAAATATCTTGAGTGAGGATTTTAAAAAAAAAAGGAAAATAAAAAGACAATTCACACACTGGGAGAAAATATTTGCAAATCATATATCTAATAATGACTTATATTCAGAATATACAAAAAATTATAGCAATTCAAGAAGACAAAACTCAATTTAAAAATGTTTTTTTCAACAAAAGACTTGAATAAACATTTCACCAAAGAAGACTCGAGCTCCTCCTCCGCCATCGCGGTGTGTTCAGTTGATTCTCCTTCGCCATGTCTTCTCACAAGACTGTCAGGATCGAGAGGTTCCTGGCCAAGAAACAAGCAGAATCAGCCCATTTCCCAATGGGTTCGGATGAAAACTGGTCATAAAATCAGGTACAACTCCAAGAGGAGACATTGGAGAAAAACCAAACTGGGTCTATAAGGAATCGCACATGAGAGATGGCTCCCATATTTATGTGGCATCCAGGTTACCTGCACCTTTAAAGACTGAAAAGACCACTACTGTCTGGACAGCTGGACATTTTAATTGGGAAATTATTGGAATAATGATATTTCTCTGTTGATTTTTTTTCTTCAGTAGTAGGTTGGTGCAGTAATAAATGAGACTTTAAAAAAAAGACTTGAATAGACATTTCACCAAAGAAGATATACAAGTAACTAATAAACCCGTGAAAAATTACTCAACATCATTAGCCATTGAGGAAATCAAAGGTGAAACCATTACATATCCGTAGAATGGCTTTAACAAAAAAGACAGACAAAATACTATAGTGTTGGTGAGAATGTGGAGAAACTGAAACCCTCATGCATTGCTGGTAGGAATATAAAATGGTTCAGCCACTCTGGAAAACAGTTTGCCAATTGCTTTAAAATTTAAAGGTAAAGTTAACATATGACCCAGAAATTTCATCCCTTGGAGTCGACCCATAACAAATGAAAACTGTGTCTATAGAGAAACTTGTACATTAGTGTTCATAGTAGCATTATTCATAACAGCCTCAAACTGGAAACAATCCAAACGCCCATCAATGGTGAATGGATAAACAAAATGTGGCAAATCTATACAATGGAATACCATTCAGCAACGGAAAAGAATGAATTAGTTCTGGCTGGTGTGGCTCAGTTGGTTGGAGTGTCGTCTTGTACAACAAAAAGTGGCGGGTTTGATTCCCGGCCGAGATAGCATGCAACAAATTGATGTCTCTCACATCGACACACTCTCTCTCTCTCTCTCTCTCTCTCTCTCCCTCCCTCCCCTTCCCCTTTTCCCTTTCTCTCTCAAAGATCAATTTTTTTTTTTTAAAAAAGGAATGAATTACTGATCGTCTGTGATTCTGATATGGATGAACCTGAAAAAATTATGCTGAGTGAAAGAAGCCAGACACAAAAGACTGTTGTAGGATTTTGTTTATATGAAATGTCTAACAAATATGAATTTATAGAGACTGAAAACAGATCAATGGCTGCCTGGGGCAGGAAACAGGAACAGAGAGTGACTTTAATGGGCACAAGGGAATTTTATGGTGATGGAAGTATTCCAAAACTGGGTTGTGGTGATGGGCGCACAATCCTATACATTTATTGGAAGTGTTGAACTGTACACTTACAATGGGCGAATCTTACAGGTGGTTGTACATTATACCTCAATTAAAGGCAGGGATTGCCTTCACAGGGTGCTTACTCACATGCCAGCTCACCTCAGCTCTACCCCTCAGCTCTGGCCTTGGCTGGGGGTGGCAATGGTGCCCACTGACCTTAGAGTCTCCTGAGACGCTGCAGCTGCTCTTGGGCACCAGACAGTGAGTGATAAGAATCCTAGGGTCTTTGGTGGTGATGGACAGGCCCTTCTGCAGAATCTGAACTAGTCGGATCCAGAAGTGGAAGACAGTCTCAGGATGGTCAGAGTGGAGTCTTAGATAGTAGATCTTCTCTGTGACCGTCCTCAACCGCAGGATGCGTTGGAGCTGGTCACAGACTTGGAGCTCCACGAACTTCAATGGGAGAATCCTGAAGGCATGAAGGAAGACACACATTGACAACCCCATTGCTTCTGATCCAACCCTGTCTTCATTAAAATGAGGAGTGTCACCAGGCCAGTGTGGCTCAGTGGTTGAGCATCGACCGATGAACTAGGAGGTCACAGTTCGATTCCTGGTTGGGGCACGTGCCCAGTTTGTGGCCTCGATCCCCAATGGGGGGCATGCAGGAAGCAGCCGATCAATGATTCTCTCTCATCATTAATGTCTCTACCTCTCTCTCCCTCTTTCTTCCTCTCTGAAATAAACAAACAATACATTTTTTAAAAATGAGGAGTATCTCCTTCAGGACTCAGGCTTTTGGGGGTGGGAATAGGGCTCAAACTTTGAGGAGGTCATGTTCACCTGGAGAGCTTGTTTAAAATGCAGACATCTGAAGACACCCCTCAGATTCAGTAGGTCTGGGGTGTGTCCTTGAATCTACATTTTAACCTCCACCCATCCTGCCATGATTTTCATGCTGGTGCCCCAGGATCCTGCTTGAAACAGACAGCCCAGGAGTAGCTGGGGGTCACAGGGTTTTCCATTTCCTTCTTGATAGCACCAAGGGAGCTACTCTGCTCTGCCACAAAGTTGGCCTCACTGTCCAGTCATTGACCCTATTGCCTCAATCACTCTTCCCAAAGGTGCTCAGGTTCAGGGAGCTGGCTTTGGGTTGAATAGTGGTCAGCTGGGCCTGGGCTGTGCTTGCTGTAGGTACTCCAAAACATAATGGAGATTTATCACTCAGGCAACATGGAGAAATGAAGGGTTTATCTGGATTTCTGAGAATATCTAGAGATTCTTTTGTTGTTGTTGTTAATCCTCACTTGAGGATATTTTTTCTTTGATTTTCAGAGAGAGTGGGAGAGAGAGGGAAAGACAGAGAGAAATATCGATGTGAGAGAAACACATTGATTGCTTACCTCCTGCACGCACCCCAACCAAGGCCCAGGCTGGGAAGGAGCCTGCAACTAAGGTACGTGCCCTTGACTGGAATCAAACCCAGGACCCTTTGGTCCACAGGTCAATGCTCCATCCACTGAGCCAAACTGGCTAGGGCTAGAGATTCTTGAATAGCCTACAGATTACTTGAAGAGGCTCAAACATTAAAAAGGGCTATTTCTGCCCAGCTGGTGTGGCTCAGTGGCTGAGCATCGACCCATGAACCAGGAGGTCACGATTCGATTCTTGCTCAGGGCACACGCCTGGGTTGCTGGCTCGATCCCCAGTGTGGGGCCTGCAAGAGGCAGCCAATCAATGATTCTCTCATCATTGTTGTTTCTGTCTCTCCCTCTCCCTTCCTCTCTCTGAAATCAATAAAAATATATATTTTAAAAAGGGCTGTTTCATCCTAGACAAGCATGATGTGAGTATATATTACAGTTCTCATGACACTTAGCTCCACTCATTTTACTGGTAGGAAAACTAAGATGCATCAAGTAACTTATGACTCAAGCAGTGTATGAGTCTCTTTAATTGCATGCCAAGGACTAGAACCTGCGGCTCCCAGCCTGTGCCCCATCTGCCGGGTCTCACTGCTTTCTTGCCCCTTGGCAGAGAGATTTCCTAAGAATTCAGTGGGGTGAGTGCAGTGAGAAGGAAAGGGAGCATGTAGATTGGCCCCTCATTCCTGTCCACACAAAGCCTCCCTTGACCCCATCTGACCACGGTGCTTGCAGTGCGCCCACTCTCTTAGGTTACCGGTGCCTGAAAAATTAACGTCGCTGCTGCTGACCCCTCTGCTTCCTCCCACCTTGAGTTTAGTCTCAGAGCAGCCTTTGCTCTGGGTCCACCCCCTCCCCCCGCTTGTCCTTCATTCCCAAGGGTGTCGCTCACCTCTTCAGGATGATGTTTGGCGCTGGCGACGGTCTGTTCCACGTCTGGCTCTGCCCCCGGTGCCATTTGACGCGGGCCATGAGGAGGATGTTGGGAAGGGGCAGGCAGGGCACGGAGGAGGTCACCCCGAGGGCCATGGTGTAGGAGGCTTTGTAGATGTTGATCCAGTTCCTGTCCTTCTTGACCTGCAAAGCAGCCCCATGGGCACAGCCTGAGATTTGGCAGAAGGAGCAACACATCTCAGCTGAGAGTTTCTCAACTTCGGCGATATTCGCATTGCGGGCAGGGTAATGCTTTGTTTGGGGGAGGGGCTGCCCTGTGTACTGCAGGGTGTTTAGCAGCATCCTCGGCCTCCACTTACTAGATGCCAGTAGCACAGCCCCCCACTCCGCCCAAGTAGTGACAACCAAAAATGTCTCCAGACGCAGCCAAATGTGCCCTGGTTTTAGAAGGCAGATCATCGCTAGGGGAGAACCACTGTTTTAAACCTATATTGGAGAAACAACTGTAATCGTATTGACACTACCTACCGTTAGCATCTGCCCACGAGAACTATCACCCAGGAGTTCCCTGGCGTGTGGCACATTTCTGTGGACACTCCCTAGACTGTTTCCTGGCTTTTCTTTGAAAAAAGTCCTTTGGCCCTTCTTTGAGGGGCCCTACAGTCTCCTGCACCTTCCCTGCTCTGTAAGGTCCCTCGTAATTCCCAGGCGCTGAGAAGAGAGCCCAGGCCGGAAACAAAAGTGCTCCTTGTACCGAGGCCTTTGCCTCCTGCGTGTGCATATAAGCCTCGTGTCAGTCAACCCCTTTTACATTAGAGGACCCTGGGACTCAGGGCTGCAGGTCGCTTGCACAGTGATGCCTCCTGGACTGCACTCTGGGCCCAGGCCTCTCTGGGGCCCAGCTTTTGTTCTCTCATCAATCAGCATTTCTGTTCCACACCCTCAAGGGGCATCTTGTTTCACTGCCTCTCTGATCATCTGCTTTGGGCTTCCTGGGGGAGGAAATAAACTGGGGGATTCAGATACCAAATCCTCCAATCAGCGCAGAGAACGCCTGGCCTCTCTCCCCCGGGGATGACAACTGACGGCAGGAGAAGCCCTGTCTGGGGCTCTGCAAAGTCAGAGTCAAGTGGGGGTGGCCTTGTATTCCAGGCCCACTGACCGCTCCTTGCCCCAGCGCTTGCTCCACTCCAGTTCCAGGGACAGACTCTCCTGGCCAGCTCTTGGGAACAGGTCTAGGAGGACCGAGGAGTGCCCGCTGAGTGCCTCCGGAGTACCTGGACAAAGTTGCTTTCAAACACCACGGAGTCAGGAAACAGGTTGAATTCTGGAGAGTGAACCATCTGGCAGAGCAGTCCCTCCTCCACACCCAGGCCCACTCCGGGGGTTGGTTCTCCATCCACAGGCAAGAGGCCCCTGAATTCTTCCCAGGCATTCAGGGAAGAGAAAGTTGGATAGGATCTTGTGACTTTTACTGCTTTCGATTTCCACCAAGTCTTTCTAGGTGGAGCTGATGACAACATTTCCGAACATGCTCAGGGGCTTGCTGCACATTTGTCCTGGGACCTCTCTCTGCCCTTCTGGCCTTGGGCAGCAGGCCAAGGCCTGGGACCGCCAATCAGCTCACAATGATGAATGGATGACATCATGAAAAACTAGGGCAAGCCTGCAGGAAAGGGAAATGCGGAGGAGCCGCCCTCTTCCTCCAGAGCGCTTTGCTGGCTGTTTATGCCCTGACATTCTCCAGCCCTTCTTGGAACCCGAGGACCCCCAGAGCTTGCTGAGAAGGAAGTGAGCCAGGCACAAGTGAGGGAGGTAGTGAGCTGAGGAAGTGAGGGAGGTAGTGAGCTGAGGAAGTGAGGGAGGTGATGAGCTGAGAAGGAAGTGAGCCAAGTGGAAGTGAGGGAGGTAGTGAGCTGAGAAGGAAGTGAGCCAGGCGGAAGTTGGGAAGCTCCTTCCATTGCTCAGAGGAAAATACCTTCCCTGCCTTTCAACCCTCCCTTACTCTTAATGCAACCCACCTGCCAAAGAGTTTTAAGAGCCGTTTCTGTAAAACCCAGCCTTCCCATGCTTTACATGATGTGGCCCCCACACGCCCTGGTGTATCTGCAGTAGCCTTTTCTGGTTATGGAGGGAGGAGTTGGTGCCTCTCTGTGCTCTGCTATGGCTGGCTGGTTACTTCTGCAGGCCTAGGTCCCTTAGGATGTCAAACTGAAGGAGCAGTAGAAGTCATTAGTTTCTTACCCAGAGGCTGGCTTTGTGAGGGTGCCAGCTGGGAGGAACAGAACCCCGATGAGCAGCTCTGCGGGATCAACAAGCCATTCCCCCTCTCAGAGTGACAGTGTTCCTCAGTCCTGGGCCAGAGGAAGAAAGAGCCCAAGTCCTGGGGTGGCTAGATCAGGGGCAAAGAACCAAGCTGACTGACCACTATTCAAGTCCATCTCAGGGAGAAATCCTACTCTAATTTGGACAAAATATCAGGATGTATTAAGTAATGGATTGACCATAGAGGTCAAATGTGATAAATTCAGAAAAGCAATTTGACAACCAATAGATGCAATGTACAAGCTCTAAGATTTATTTTGTATTTCATTATTAAGTCATCTGATTCTATCAGCCCCTCACTTGGTCATTTCTTTTTTTTAAATATGTTTTTATTGATTTCAGAGAGGAAGGGAGAGGAAGAGAGAGATAGAAACATCAATGACAAGAGAGAATCATTGATCGGCTGCCTCCTGCACACCCTCTACTGGGAATTGAGCCCACAACCCAGGCATGTGCCCTTGACCAGAATCGAACCCAGGAGCCTTCAGTCCGCAGGCGACTCTTATATTCACTGAGCCAAACGGGCAGGGGCAGTCATTTCTATTGTGCTCCTGCTCAAGCCCCTGTACTAGCTCCCTGGTGGGTAAAGCAACTTCTGCACTCGTTCCTCATTTTCTTTTGTTGACCATGTGGGGAAATGTCCTCCATGGTAACGTTCTCTAAGGATGAGGCAGAGACTGCGTCCTGTGGTTTATATTTCCCTAGAAAGACACAGTACAAAACGTGATGGCAATTGATACATTGATATGATGCTTCTCACAGTTAAAGCTTACCCACAACAGGAAAGCTTATTGGCGTAGATATGTGATTTAGATATATTTGGCCAGTGAACATTCAAAAGTCCTCTTCCATTGGGGAAATGTCTCTCTCCCTTTTCCATGTAATCCTATCGAACCCCACTTTGCAGTGTGTGGAGGAAGGCTTTATTTAGCACCAAGTCTAGAAAGCTAAGGTGAAGAGGGGCGCTCTTCACTCTAAACAAAATACTCAGCAGTGATAGAAATGGTGCTTTAAGATGTCTACCCCTTCGACCTGTTCCACCAAACCTCAAAAACTAGCACACTGCATCCTTTAAAAAACCATTTGAAAAATACTTAATTGTCCGTCCTATTATCCATTGTCTCCATTCCTTTACTAATAGAATTTCTCACTGGGCACAATTTTTTAGAATAAAGGTTATTATTCCGGGTCTCCCTTCCAGCTAGGTAAGGCCACATGACTATGTTCTGGCAAAAGTGGTGCAAGCTCCAGTGTTCGGTGCAGTTGATGTAAGGAATCATTGTAGGAAGGGGACGTGCTCTTATTCACACCTTGCTTTTTCCTTTTGGCTGGAATGCAAACTTGAGGGCTGGAGCTTGAGCAGCCCTTTGGTCATGAAGCAGCAGGCTAAGGAGGGTAGCATAGCAAGATACAAGGGCTCCAGTTCCTTGATGATCATAAAACTATGATACTAGTCTGAATAAGATAAATTAGGATTTTCTGTTATATTGAGCCAGACTTCAAACCAGCTGATTCAACTACATAAAACTACTATCTACTCTTCTGGACCAATTTTACAGGAAATGATGGTACTATTTATCAATAATTCCAAGCAATGAAGAAATTATGGTTAATTTATGAGAAATTAGGACCTTAAGAATGACAGAGTTATAGCTTCTGGAGAAAGTTGTATATTTTCCAATGACAGGAGAGACTCATTGCTTTCCTCTTCCTGTGTATTCAGTGATGTTGATGCTACCACAATTCTTGCCTTTTGCACATTTTGGTGATGAGCACTTTGGTGACTATACATTGGTTTGAGGCTAAAGTCACTTTGGCAGTCTCAGGTATCATTTCAATTGCTCAGGAATGACCAGGATATCTGTTTGTCAGTTGGGACTGGACCCAGGTTTTGTGTTTAAAGCTTATGCCATTTTGGAGATTATTAAAAAGAAAAAGACTGGCTCTGGCTGGGTGGGTCAGTTGGTTATATTGAGCCAGACTTCAAACCAGCGGATACAACTACATGCATCAAAAGGTGGCAGGTTTGCTTCCTGGTCAGGGCACATATCTAAGCTGTGGGTTCGCTCCCTAGTGGGGGTGCGTATGGGAGGCAACCAAACAATGTTTCTCTCTTACATCAATATTTCTCTCTCTCTATCTTTCACTTCCTCTCTCTCTAAAAATCAATAAAAAGATATCCTCAGGTGAGTATTTAAAAAAAAGATAATAATAAAAATAAAGACTGGAGGGAGGGGAGTATTAAGAGTTGTTTAATGGGTACAGAGTTTCAGTTTGGAAAGATGACAAAGTCCTGGAAATGGGTGATAATGATGGTTGCACAACAATGTGAATGTATGTAATGCCACTGAAGTGTAAACCTAAAAATGATTAAAATAGTACATTTTACATGATGTTTATTTTACCACAATAAAAAATGGTGAAACGTAAAAAAAATCAAAATTTAAAAATCCCACAACGTAGGACAAAAAACTGGCCCTCGGAAGGGCCCATGGGACTATGGGGCCCTGAAACTTAAGTTTTATGATCTTCATGGTAAAGCTGTCCCATTTAAGTCTGTGTCACTATTTTAAAAAACTTTGTTACATAAGTAGAACATGTGCTTTGTAGAACACTAGAAAATACAGACAAGTTCAAAAAACAAACAGCATATTCCTACTTTCCAGAAAACATGACTGTAATAACTACCTACATGTGTGTACCAAAATGGATCATACTCTAAAAAATGTTTTATAACCTGTTTTATTCAGTCAACACTCTCTACATTTGTGTTTTGGTGTATTTTCATCTCATGTGATTTCCAGGCCATATCAAAATTTGTCAAATTAACTCCAATTATTCTTGTGCTTGCTTTATCCAATCCAGGGCCACAGTTCCCCTATGTTTATTTTGATCTAGTACAGTCCCTTTTTAGGACCCTTACTAGTGGAAGCAATTGAGTCCCTTGTCCTACAGAATGACCCACCTTCTGGATTTGTCTGGCTACTTCCTGGTGGTATTTATCTTGCTTCTTTAGCAACTATATTTCCTGTGAAATAGAAGTTATATGTAAAGGGCTGGTGGATTCAGATATTGTTTTTCTTTCATTAAAATCATAAAGATTTCTTAGTATGGTGCTACTATGGGATCCCAAAGAATTTCAGTAGGTAAATACTTATAAAGAATACATATAAGAAAAACGATTTCAAGAAATAGAATAAAGTCTTTGAAAAGCATCTTTTCTGTGCCCTCAAGGAAATTAAATACAACCTGAGGCTCTTACATAGGAAACAACAACAAAAAATCAGAGATATCAAAATCAGATGAAAAGAGACTTGGGACTACAAGGAAAGAAACAGAAGAAAAACCCACTAAATATCTAAAAGTCACATTAGAACCCACAAGAAGTAGAGTTGACATGACAGAAAGCTGAATCAGCGACATGGATAACAGGCTTGAGCCTAGCACACAGAACACAGTGAAGGACAAGGAGATGACACCACTGGAAGGATAATGGTAAATCCATAAGACATTTCTGTTGATCCAACAGACAGGCCGAGTCCCTGATGAAGAGGAAACAAATGGAATCGAAAAAGTCATCAAACACATAAAAGAAAAAGCAATTTCTGAAACAAAAAGACTCAATTTGGCAAATGAATAGAATTTACTATATTCCAGGTAAACTGAACAAAGAAACCATTGAGACCAGAATATGTCTTGTAAAGTTCCTAAGTCTTAGAGATAACAAAAGCACCTTACGGCGAACATCCAGATAGAGGAAGCAGATAATCTACCGGGGGGAATAAAATGCGACTGGCCTCAGACTTCTTTTCAGCAGTTTTAGGTGGCATAAGACAATGGAACAATGTAGAGAGAATGTTGCAGAGGAGAGGATGTGACCCAATAATTCCATAAATGGCTAGAGATTTATTCAAGGATGAAAGTAGCAAAACTAATCTTAAAACTCTAAGTACACTAAGATGAGTAAATCTATAAGCTGGTTCTTTGAAAAAGAAAAGTTAGACAAAGCACTAGTTAACAGTTTAATTTTTGAAAAGGAAAACATACAATTTGAAATAAAAAAACCACAAGTGTAAATAATAAGGAAGTATAGGTTTCTGGGTATAGGTATGGCTTGAAGCTATATTACTTGGAGTATAAGTCCAGGTGGTCAGAGGCCCCAAATACTGTGACTTAAACAAAACAGAAGTTTGGTTCG